ATGGCCTCGGTGTACACACACACACACACACACACACACACACACACACACGCTCATAGACTCAGACACAGAACAACCTGTGGGCGGCTGGAGTTCAGACATTAGAAGCCGCAGCTGCCATGGCTGGTTGAAAAAATATGGGCAGAGTTTCAAAACAAGGCCCTAACCGCAGTCCTCGACTTACAACCGTGGTTCATTTAGTGACCGTTTGAAGCTACAATGGCACTGGGAAAAAAGGTGACTTAGGACTGTGTCTCACACTAAAACGGTTGCAGCCTCCCTGGGGTTCACGTGATTCAAACTTCAGACGCTCTGCAAATGATTCGTATTTATGACGGTCGCAGCAGCCCCCCCCCCCCCCCGGGGTGTGTGTCACGTAATCCCCTTTTGGAAACTTCCGACGAGCAAAGTCAAAGGGAGCTGCCTGATTCACTTAACAGCCGTGTTGGTCACTTAAACCCCTACAGCGATCCGTTGAACGACGGTGGCAAGAAAGGTCGTGCGACCAAACGGGGTTGACGAATGTCTCATTTAGCAACAGAGACGTGGGGCTCCGTTGTGGCCGTATGTCGAGGACTACCTGCATTGCAAACCAAGTCCTAGCAGAGTTAGACAAATCTATGTCTGAGCAACAATGCTAATTCTCAGCTAAGAGGCCTCCGTGCAGATCATTCTACACCGGGGAGGAAGAGATGGAGGGAGGTTGTTTACTTAAAGCAATGCCCCCTCGCCACCCCCACCGATTGTTAGAAATACTTCCTGGTGTAGCAAACTCACTTTGGGTCACTGCCTTTGTGAAATATCCTCATGCAAATCACAAAATATTTGGGAGAGCAGCCCAGATCAGCCAGTCTAAACAAAGTTCCCTTTTTCTATTTAACATCCCTCTGACTCATTCATTCATTCACTCACTCTCTCACTAACTCTATCCATCTCCCTTCCCCTCCCTCCCTCCCCCCTGCTGTCTCTTTCCCTCTTCCTCTCCTCTTCCTTCTGTCTCCCCCTTTCTCCCTCCCTCCCTCTCTGCCTTCCTCCTTTCTCTCCTCTCTATCTTGCTCCATCTCTCTCTCTCTTTCCCCCTCTCTCCCCCTCCCTCCCTCTCCCCTTCCCTCTCCTTCTCTCTCTCCCTCTCCTTCCTCCTTCCTTTCCTCCCTCTGTCTCTTTCCCCTTCCCTCCCTCCCTCCTTCCCCTTCCCTCCCTCCCCCCTTCCCTTCCCTTCCCTTCCCTTCCCCTGCCTTTCTATCTATCTATCTTCTTCCCACTCTCTCTTTCCCCCTCTCTCCCTCCCTCTCTCCTTCCCTCTCCTTCTCTCTCTCCCTCTCCCTCTTCCTCCTTCCTTTCCTCCCTCTGTCTCTTTCCCCTTCCATCCCTCCCTCCTTCCCTCCCTCTCTGCCTTCCCCTCCCCCCCTCCTTCCTCTCCCTCTCATGCTGTCTGTCTATCTATCTATCTATCTATCTATCTATCTAT